TGTGAGGACGCAGTCAGTAAGGCTAACCACACCTTGTCATATGTCCACAGATGCATCACAAGCAGGTCCAAGGAGGTGATCCTCCCCCTCTATGTGACATTGGACAGGCCACAGTTGGAGTACTGTGTCCAGTTCTGGGCGCAGCACTTCAGGAGGGATGTTGACAGCATTGAGAGGGTCCAGAGGAGGGCCACTTGCATGATCAGGGGGCAGTAGGGCAGGCTCTGCGAAGAGAGGCTATGGGACCTGAACCTGTTCAGCCTCCACAAGAGATGGCCAAGACGGGATCTGGTGGCTGTCTATAAACTTAGCAGGGGGGACCTGCTGGGAATGAGAGAGTCCCTGTTCCCCTGAGCACTACCAGGAGTAACTAGAAATAACAGCCACAAGTTGATTGAGAGTAGGTTCAGGTAAGACATCAGGAGGCACTACTTCACAGTCAGGGCAGCTAGGATCTGGAAACAACTTCCAAGGGAAGTGGTGCTCACTCCTACCCTGGGGGGGGTCTTCAAAAGGAAGCTAAATAAGCACCTAGCCAGAGTCGTTTGACCTCAGCATTCTTTCCTACCCATGGCAGGGGGTCGGACTTGATGATCCGCTTAGGTCCTTTCCAGCCCTACCAACTATGAAACTATGAGGTTGAGGTTTGTTGTTTAACCTACAAACTGCGAGACATGCAGCAGCACACCCCAGGTAAGTATCAAGGGGGCCTTTGGGCATCAAAATAGGTGGGGCACGAATGGCACCATTCGAAGGGCTCAACTGCCTCTGTACTAATGCTAGAAGCATGGCGAACAAGCAGGAAAAACTTGCACTTCTGCTTGCGGATAATAACTTTGATTTAATGGGGTTAATGGAAACCTGGTGGGACCCTACCCATGACTGGGTGGTACACATTGAGGGCTACGGGTTGTACAGAAGAGACAGAATAGGGAGGAAAGGGGGCAGGGTTACTCTCTATGTAAAGAAGCATTATACATTTACCCTAATCAAAATGGGATCAGAGGAGAAGAAAGTTGAGGCATTGTGTGTTAGGATACATGGAAGTCATGGGGAAAGGGACTTGGTGGTGGTGGTCTGCTACAGACCTCCACACCAAGAGGAAAAACTAGACTTGGAATTCCTGAGGCAGCTCTCAGAGGCTGTACCGTCTAGGGACGTGGTTGTCATGGGGGACCTAAACTACCCTGATGTCTGCTGGGAGGAGCAGCAGCCAAATCTTAACCTGCATGCAGGACCTTTACCTAATGCAGGAGGTATATGGTCCCACTAGGGGGAATGTCTTACTGGACTTGGTGTTCGTGATAGGGGAGGAGCTGGTAGGTGAGCTGCAGATTCGTGGTCCCCTTGGGGACAGTGACCACCAATCAATCACATTCACCATATGGCGCAGTGTGGGTAAGATAACTAGTAGGATGGAAGTGCTTGACTTTAGGAAGGCTAACTTCAGTGCACTTAGGAGTGTAGTCAATAATGCAGTGCAGGAGAAGAGTATTGGTGAGATGGGAATCCAGGAAGGGTGGTTGTTCCTAAAGGAAGCAATCCCTTGGGCACAGAGGGAGACTATCCCAATACGAGGGAAAAGGGGGAAAGGAACCAAAAAACTTCCTTGGCTAAACAGGGAAATCCAGGGAGGCTGAAGGCAAAAAAAGAAGGCATATAGGTGGTGGAAGCTAGAGGAAGCTACCAAGGAGGAGTATACCTACTTGGCCCGCACTTGCAGGGAGGCAATTAGAAAAGCCAAGCAACTACAGAGCTGAGGCTGGCAACACAAATTAAAGACAACAAAAAGTATTTTTAAGGCTGAACTATTCAATGAGTTTTTTGCCTCTGTGTCCCTGAACAGGGGTCAAGATAAGTCTCCTAATGGGTTCTTAGATGGGCATCAGAGGCACACCAGCCCACCAATTGTCTATGCTGACTTGGTGCAGAGTCACGTAGATGGACTGGATGTGTTCAAGTCAGCAGGCCCAGATGAGCTGCATCTGAAGGTACTGAAGGAATTGGCCGGTGTCATAGCAGAACCACTGGCGTGGCTGTTTGAGCACTCGTGACGCTCAGATCAGGTCCCGGAGAACTGGAAAAGGGCAAATGTAGTCCATATTTTCAAGAAGGGGAGGAAGGAGGATCCAAGTAATTATAGGCCAGTCAGTCTCACCTCCATCCTTGGAAAGGTCTTTGAAAAAATTATGAAGGATCATATTTGTGGGAGTGCAGAGGGAAAAATAATGCAGCAGGGAAACCAGCGTGGATTTGTAGCAGGTAGATCATGCCTGACCAATCTGGTTTCATTTTATGACAGGGTCACAAAATGCTTAGATGCACGAGTAGGGGTGGATGTCGTTTTCATGGACTTTAGCAAGGCCTTCAATATGGTATCTCATCCTATTCTCATAAATAAATTAAGAGGCCGTAAAATAGATGTTTACACGGTCTGGTGGGCAGCAAATTGGCTTAGCGGTCGCATGCAGAGAGTGGTAGTAGACGGGTCGGTATCGACCTGGAAGGATGTGGATAGTGGGGTCCCACAGGGTTCAGTCCTTGAACCGCTACTCTTCAATATCTTCATGAGTGACTTGGATGTTGGTGTGAAGTGTACTCTGTCCAAGTTTGCAGACAGTACTAAATTGTGGGGTGAAGTGCACACTCTGGAGGGTAGGGAACAATTGCAGGCAGACCTGGACAGGTTAGAATAGTGGGGAGTACACAATAGGATGCAGTAAAACGAGGACAAGTTCAGAGTGCTGCACCTAGGCTGCAAAACTATCCAGCACACCTACTGGCTGGGAAGTGACCCTCTCAGTAGCACAGAAGCAGAAAAGGATCTCGGAGTCATAGTGGACTCCAAGATGAACACGAGACATCAGTGTGACGAAATCATCAGGAAAGCTAACCGCACTTTATCATGCATCAGCAGATGCATGACAAATAGATCCAAGGAGGTGATACTTCCCTTCTCTGCAGCATTGGTCACAGTTGGAGTACTGCGTCCAGTTTTGGGTGCCGTACTTCAAGAAGGATGTTGATAGACTCGAGAGGGTCCAGAGGAGGGCCACTCGTATGGTTAGGGGCTTACAGGACAAGCCCTATGAGGAGAGACTGAGGGACCTGAACCTCTTCAGCCTCCACAAGAGAAGGCTGAGAGGTGATCTTGTGACCACCTACAAACTCATTAGGGGGACACAGCAAGGGATTGGAGGTGCTCTGTTCACCAGGGCACCTCTTGGGGTAACAATGGTCACAAACTGACAGAGAGCAGATTTAGGCTAGACATCAGGAAAAACTTCTTCACGGTAAGGGCAGCCAGAGTTTGGAATGGGCTTCCAAGGGAGGTGGTGCTCTCCCTTACCTTGGGGGTCTTTAAAAGAAGGCTGGATAGGCATTTAGCTGGGATCATCTGACCCCAGCACTCTTTCCTGCCTAGGCAGGGGGTCAGACTCCATGATCTGTTGAGGTCCCTTCCAACCCTAGTATCTATGAATCTATGAATCTTACTTGTGGCTTAAACTAGGTTTGACTACATATTTCCAGATATGAAGGACTCATGCACTAATGCTCTGTGTCAGGACTTCCACTGAATATCTGTTCCACTTAAGAGATCATTATGGTGGAAGGAAGGAGGGTGGGCAGGTGGTGGAGAATGAATTTTTATGTTGGAGAGCAGGTGAAGGAAATTTTAACCGGAATTCCTCCACTTGAATTCAGAACAATTTTGTCATGGCAGGCAGAGAAACAAACTAGCAATACTCATGCTATTTGTTGCCATTTTCCCACTGGCTTGGGACAGCAGGCCATGTGGAGCAGAAATACGGCAGTGCTACTGGGTAGGACCTCAGAAAAGTGCTCTGAATCCATAATGTGGGCCATTGGATGTGGGTTTGGGATGGGAACATTAAATACTTGCAGGAACTGGCCTTTTGGTTCCATTAAAATATACTCTGTATTCATATAAATTCTGTATTGTTTTTTACAGTTTAGAAAAGAAGAAGAAGGATCAAAGGAAAGGAGCTGTATTCCAAGGATTGATAATAATAGCATATTGACCATGCAGAGTTCCACAGAAAGACCCTTGCCTGAGGTCAAGTGGAGTAATTTCATGTCATTTTCCCTCCCTGAAGAAGTGCTGCCCCTTCCATAGCAAGGGGATTATCTGTACTCCTCCAATGCTGGCTGTCACCCCCCAGGCAATGACCCCGTGAATAGATGCTGATTTTTTTTCCCCTGGCCCAGTGGAATCTATACTTCTAAATGCGTTCCCAACCAGCTGGTCAGCTCTGTATTGATTTTAATTAAAGAACTGTGATCAGAGATGGGGGAGCAGTTATTAGGTGGGGCCTCAGGATGCTGGAACAAAACGCTTCAATGCATTTTCTTGCTGAGGCAACTTCCACCCTTTCTTTTTTCCTCCTCTTGCTGTATATGATGCAGGTGTGTCATATAGCAAGATGCCCATGGAGGTGACTCAAAAACCTTCGGGGGAGGGTTGGGTTGTTTTTTTTGCAGTGGCAATGTTGCTTGCTGTCTGCCACTGATTCTAAAGCATTCTTACAACCCCAATCTGCTCCATCAGCACATTTCTCCTAGTCTCTAGGGCAGAGGTTCTCAAGCTGTGGTCCACGGACCACCACTAGTCCACAAGCTTCATCCAGGTGGTCTGCAGAAAGGTTACAGAACAAATCGAGAATATCTGTACTTGGCCCTCCACTTAATTTATTTTTTTTGCTGACAAAGATCAAGCGGTCTGCCGAGACTCTCAGCAATTTTCAAATGGTCTGCGAAAAAAAGGTTTGAGAACCACTGCTCTAGTGAGTTCCTCCCTGATCTGTAGTACACCACTTATCTGGTTCTCAGAGGTGCTGTGGCATGGATGCATGATGGTCACCTCTTCGCTGACACACAGGGGATTGAACCAGGTACTGTTGCCTCTCAGCTCCATGTTCTTGGGGAACCCTGGCAGAGGACACAGCATGTCTGACTCACAAATAACTCTCCCCCTCCCCACCTCTGCCTGAACAAGAACTGATTAGAGGAAGGACTTACAAAAGATAAGGAAGATGCCGTGGGAGACGCACCTAAAGCCCTCCAGACAAGGGTGACAAGAGTGAAGCAACTCCCCTAGTCTCATCTGCATCTGAGATGGAACCAGATGACAACTCATTTAAATGGGAGATGGGACAGGCATGCACCTTCATTAGCATTCAGGATGGACAACAGAGATTCCAAGGCAAGGACCGCACAGAATTCTGGGATCAGAGAAGCAAGGGAGTACTGCGTGATGGGGCATCCTTGCTCCAAACCTAGTGTTCTCCCTTGAGCCATTGCTAGTTCTCTACAAAACGCCCTACCCAAGCTCAAGTTTCTATCCTGGTGCTTGGATCCAAAGCTGCACCAGTTCCACTCCTTTTCTGCCTGGAATCTCTCCATTGATCATGCTCAGAACTCTGCCTGTCTGCAAGCAACAACAAACACCCGGGAACATTGACTGGTTCAAGCTTTGTTGAGTGGTGAGACCCCAACTCTCTTTCTCTCTCTCTGACTCTAGGAACCTGACTTTTATTCTTTTACTCCAGGTACAGCTTTCTAAACCTGACTTTTGCTAATCAAACTCAAGCTAGACTTCCCCAAAAACATAACTGAAACTATGTAATACTGTAACTGTTTATTTGTCTCTCTCTTGTATGGCTGTTATTACTGGTATCATCATAAGTTCATATACCTGGCAATAAATAACTTTTATGGTCAAGCTGGTTGCTACACTTTCTCTCTGAACCTCACCTACTCCTTCTTCCCCTTGACCTCCCCATTTGCTCTGCAGCAATGCTTCTTTTACCTAAGCCAAAGATCCCTGTAATGCCCAAAACCACAGTGCGGTCTGCTCATCAAGGGGGTTACTACTAAGACCATTGTGACAAGAGACTGTGACGTGCTGAATTTTGAGGTGCATGAGGGTATCAGCTGAAAGTGCTGATCGGACCCAGCCTGCTCAGAAGTACTCTGTTAGCGTTTGTGTATGTGCGTCTAACTGCATTTATTATTGTCCTAATGAACTGAGTTCAAGGCACATGCTGAATAGTCTGGCCTGACGCAGATGTGCTCTGTTAACCTGTGTGCTTGTGTCTGACTGCATTTTATTGTTGCCCTGATAAACTGAGTTCAAGGCATATGAGGGTGTCAGCCTGTTAATGCTAAATAACCCAGCCTGGCTCGCGCGTATCCTGTTGATCTGTGTGTGTATGTGCGTACATGTGTTTGACTGACTTGGTGGCTGCAGGAACCCAGCCTCATTGAAACTGAGTCCTGCAAGATAGCTCCATTGGGGGTGAGGACTTGCAGAAGGGAGAGATACAGCTCCATATAGAAACACAAGTAACACAAGTGGCATAGTGATAGAATTACAGAGACCCCCCAGAAATGTACCCCTAATAAATGAGCACTCCCCAAAGTGACAGGCAAATCTAGTAACAGTACTTCAAGAGCTAAATGCATAAACTGCTACAGCTTGAGCTAAAGGGTCAAGGCTCTGTAGCTAGGGTCTGTAATATGGTAACTTGTATTTGCTATGGGTTGGGCATGGAGTGGAACTAAAACATGCACAGCCTCCCCTTACCCCAAAAAGCACCAGTCTATACATGCTGCTGGGTTTTTGGTTGTACCTGTTTTGGTCTAAGGACATAGGCAGGCAAGGTTCAACTTCTCTTATTACCTGAAGTCTCAGAACAGCAGAGACTCCCTATGCCTGAACAAAGGTGATTGCTCTTAAAAGCTTGCTAAGAACTTTTTTTCCAACTACTCAGTTGGTCTAATAAAATATATCAGTCTACACATTGAAAAGGATGAAAGAACCTGAAGCAGTAGCTCAAAGAGCTATGGAGGAACTACTGAACCATGCTATACTAACCAGACTGAACCACAGAAAATGAGAGATAGGCCAGTTCTACAATCACACCGCCACTTTGGGAACTGGAAGGGTTTAGCCCTGGAGTTGCACATGGGACTGTGATCTCAAGCTGAGAACAGCAAGCATCCAATCCTAAAGCTGCACAGGTAGAAAGCAGGCCCCATCTGCTCCTTCACTTGAAATAATTCATTACTAAGCAGTTTTGAGATGAAACAGTCCCTGATATGCTTCTGTCTGGAGTTCCCATCCTTTTACTTCTACTATACTGATTTTTCCTGCAAAGGGACATTGCTCTTGGTTTCTCACCTTGACTGTGAGAATGAATCCATTACTGTAGAGAGGGTTTTCACGGTCAAGCAGCCCATTCAAGGTTAAAGCTCCACTGATATAGTCCAATGCAAAGATGCTGTTGGTGTTACCTGATGATGAAAAGAAACAGGGTAAAGCACAAGCAGCTTGAATGGCTAACAACCCAACAAACTATGGATCTGACACAGAGACAAATCCAAAGAGGCAAGGCTTTTTTCCCTACTCTCCATGCACAAACGGATCAGATGCAGAAAAAAGATTTCAGAATCCAGAACTGTAGCCTGCTTTTAGGCTGGTAACATACAACACCAGTGTGTGCAAACCTCAATTTTTAAAATTAATTTTAAAATTAAATCACTGTAAATCATTTCTTCCTTCACTCACCTGCTCAATACTTGGGCCTGAGTTGTGCTTTTTTTGCAAGCTCTGATAGTATCACAAATGCTTAAGGCAGAGTAGGAATTTCAAAGAGTTTCTGTTAAAATGTAAATACATTCATTGTCTTTGTTTACACACCTACTCTGTTACTCACTTGGGATCTCAGAGCATGCAGAGAAACTTCTGAGGTTCACTTTGTAATAACCATCAAAGTCTGTGCAGGTGGGAGAGTAGCTGTAGCCAGAGACCTGCTCCCACCTTACGGAGATGAATGAGGAAGGAGCAGTGAACAGGACTGGGGGTGGGGGAGTGGAGGCAGCACAACCAAGGGCAAAGGCCCTATTCTTAACACACCAACCATCAGAGCATAGCTGGTGCAGGGTGGGAAGTGAGCTGAACAACACACTAGGTTGGTACAGTTTCTCTCTCTCAAAGTGGGGGCTGAAGTGTCCCTTGCTCCTGGGGCTGCGACACACTGCCACCCATTGCTCTGAGCTTCTGCTGTGATATCTCCACAGTTTAGCTCTATGTGTTTATAAGACAGGGATAATGGGCAGTCCAAACTCAAGGTAAAATCCACTCACAGGATTACAGGGTTTAGTTTAGGACAGCAAATCACATTTACGGTGATTTGCTACACACTCTCCTGTTGTCACCTGTCCCTTAGACTGAACCCTACCATTGCCACCATGTCCCTTGGATGCCAAGCTGCACCTTTTCCACTTCCCCAGAACAGGGCTGGTCTGTCCTCTTGTTGCCATTTGTGCCCATGGATTTTGCAAGAATCCAAGATCCCAAGGTTTGGGATAAATTTATATGAGAGCATCCAGCTTCTAAATTTAGCAGCCCTGAAGGTTTCACTTGCAAACAACTATATAAAATACCATCTTCAATGCTTCGTTCTTTTGTGCTCCATCCAGAGAAACACTACCTCCTTTCATGGCAACCCCACTCCATTTTCTCCCCCTTTGGAAATTGATACTGTGACAGGGTTACAATGATACTGCTGAGTCTTGCAGTCCAACTGCCAGCAGATGTTAGTAAGCAATACCTCATGGGACTGGGGCTACCCTTACTATTGTCTCACCTGGTATATCTTTATCAACTGAGATAAAGAAAACAGTTGTTAGTCGGAACCTTGGATATCTGATGCTTGCCTTGTGTGATACCCAAGGAGGAGGCTGTTGAATTAATGATCGGGGGGTTACACGCAAACACAAACTGCATTTACCTATACTTCAAAGCACGAAGGAATTCCTGATCCCAAATTACCGAGACACAGGAAGTGGAAAAGGAATATTACATTCTATCCACTGAAAAGAAAGAGTCCTCAAGCTCTCACTACCTACATATATTAAAAATAATATTTGTTAACTTTTAGAAATGCTTTGCAAGATAACTTCCCATGACAAAAGTATCTTTTCCTTCACTCCTGACCCTGTATCTCCTCCATCCACCCTGCCTGCTCACCTTGATACTAGTTTCAGCCTGGCTTTCAATACCCCTTCATCGTACTGATACTCCCTTTCTCTAGGTGGTTAATGACCCATTTCTTTCCTCTAGTTACAGCTCTCTTCTCATTTGACTTGGTCTCTGTAGTTTTCACAGCCCTCTCAATCATTTTGGCTTTTGTGAGCAGAAGGCCAGCAATGTCTTCTTCCCCTGCTGGACTCAGTCCTAACTCTCTAATCAAACATTTCTCCTTTATAATAGAGTCTTTACCTCTTTCCCTCAGACCTCCCCTTACAAAATGCCCTTGGTTCTTTTTCTCATCTCCATCTGAAATGGCCCATTGACTGCTACCCAGCTCAATGAACTGTTAAGGATCTACTTAAAAATATTAGCTGGTGTTCAGTGGCAAATCATAAAAGATTCCAATTGTCTCCATTGAAGGCATTATCTCTTTGAGGGTGGACACCAACCTGCTACAGTTTCTCTGTCTTGAATCTATTTCCAGGTCCCTCCTTCTCACATCTACTTTTCTGTTTTGGCTCAATCTGCTCCTAGATATTGTGCAGTTGATCAGATTTTCTTCCAGGGAGGCAAAATGAAATAGAACCATGCTTGTCCCATATCTTTGACCCTTATTAATATCTGACCTTTCTGACCCTTCTTAATTCAAGCCGTAAGTACATTATCAAGACTAGAAATCTCATAATTATAGGCAAGAAAGATATGGAGGGGAAAAAAGCTCAGGATCAGAAAACAAACAAAAAACAATCCAGTACTCAGTACAGAATATTTCCAAATTTGCTTTTCAGGCCTTAAATCAGCGGTGAGCAAAATATGGCCCACGGCCTGAATCCAGCTCACCACCCGCCAGCTAATTTTACCCCAGCCAGCCCTTCTGCCCATGGGGGTGGGAGTGAGGCACCCACATGTACAACACCCCCCTTCCTCCACCCAACATACCCAATTGTGCCTTGCTCCTACCCTTGTGCATGGAAGGGCCTACCCCAGCCAGGATGCAGCTTCCAGGCTGGGCGGCTTTTGCCACTGCTGTAGCTGCCAGGGGACCTGCTCAGCTTCCCTGGTGTCCCACTCGCTCCAGGCACCAGGTAGAGAAGCAGTAGGGCAGAGGCGGAGGTGGCGGGGGGAGGGGAAGGAAGATGCAGCTGGGCAGGAGCACAGAGCATGGGGCTGGGGCTGACAGCAGCTTAGAGCCCATGCCCAGGGGAGGTGAGACTGTGGAGCTCAGGGGGGCAGGGTGTGGGC